CCCTTAGCCAATAACTTAATCTTGGTGTGTCTAGAAACATAGAAACATGATAAAAATTATATTTTTATAATTTTTATTAATATGTTGATACTAAAAATAATTTTTAAAAATTAAAAAATATTATTAACAATAAATATTACCACATTCACAAATACATCACTGAAATCCTACCAGCAAAAAATCAAAATCAATTTATAATTGACTAAATTTAATCCTATTAATTTATGATCTGATTCTTAGAACGGATCTTAGATTAACAACAATTAATAACTTGATAGAAAAAAAAAATTGAAAATAATGGTTAATTAAGTAAACTAAACAAGTTGTATTTTTAATTACTTATAGAATATAATAGTTGTTTTATTGATGATCATTTCATTGATTTGGTCCAATTCATACTCATTCGATACAAGAAACAGAAAGTCAATATATTTTTCCTTGTATTCTCTAAGCAAGAAAAGGGTGTAATGAGTGTTTGACTGGTTGTGATGCTTACATCCATGATGCTTATCCTCCTTCATTTTAAGCTCCTTTTTTTTTTTAATTCGCTATTCCTACAATATTCTGTGTGTGTATGTTATGACAATGTGAAGCTTAATGATATTTCATAATGTTTTTTTCATTTGATTTATAATTTTTTATTTATTTATCAAGCATGAGAGTTCATGACATCTCGACCAGTAATCTTATCGTTGAGTAATTAAGATTAAGAAATTAAAAAAAAAAAAAAGTTGTTTCTATCAAGGAAAATTGCTTCCATGCTTGACACTTAACACAAGCAAGAGAGAAAACACTTAACGTAAAGAAAAGATTTGCTTTCTGAAAGTGATCTTATGGCACCGAAATCTTGAACAGCAGATCCTTAATTTGTGCACGAAAGGGAAGGAAATGGTTTGCTGATTTCATCGCTAACATTTTGAAAATGTTGACCATCTTTCTTAATTAAAATCCATTCTTAGCCACCCACTAATTATTTAAAATTAGAAATATTCTATAATTAAGCAAAAGCGATGGTGTAGCCACCATGAGCTTTCTAAGTTGGCTGCAAAAGGCAAGTAAATTAAGTAACATGAAATTAAGACTAATTGATCAAATCAACATTGTTATATGTATATATATATATAGTCGGGGGGGGGGG